AGGAAAAAATCGCACACACGAGGCCAAATTCTGAGTAAATTTAAGGTTTAGGATCCCCCAAAAAGACTTAAGATGTATCAAAATTTGAATGTAAATAGATTAATTTAGAGTTTGTTCAACTAAAAAAAAAAAAAAAAAATAAAAAAATCCAAAAAAAACACGGAAAATCAGAAAATTGTGAATATTTCACGCAACATTTTCATGCAACAGTTGCACGAAATTGCTTAAATGTCTTAAATCAAAGCTCTTAAATTGATAGAAGATCATTGAAATGTCTTATAAGGCACCAGAATAGCCTAATGATTCTAAGATCTAAGCATTTAAGGAGTGGAAATCTTGTAAAAATTTTGAATTTTTTAAAGAAAAATAACGAAAACATAAGGGGTCCTTGCCTATTATATCCTTAAAATTATCCTGTAGATACTTCCTACATAATTTTTAGTGAAAAAAAAACTGTTAAAGATATGAATTTAAATCGTTTAAAATTCTAAGTTAAAAAGGAATATTGGAAATTTTTTTAATTAAATAACAAAAATATATAAAATTACTTGTGAAATTTCACATCAAAATCGAGAAAACTTTCCCGAAAATTCCCTGCGTCGAGAGCAAAATCTGTAATATTGCAAAATATAGGTCAAGGTCTGACATTAACGGATGTATGTTGCGAGTATTTGGTCATTTCGGACGGATTATACGAGTAAAAGTGCTAAATTTCACGCTAAAAATGCCAAATTTATTAACTTTTTTCAGAAAAATGACAATTATAATTCCATCAAATCAAAAAATTCTTCGCGAAATCTTCAAAATTTGGCACGAAAACAGTGAAATTTGCGGAAGAAGAGACGTTGCAAAGTGGGATAAGGTCAAGGAAACCTTCCAAAAAGCGAGAAAAATCGACTTAAAAGAAGTATTTAAAATGATCCTCAAGGATCTGAACGATTAGGGAATGGAAAAAAGTAAAGATTTCCCCCCAAAACTTTAAATAAATTAAAGGAAAATTGAGTCAATAAACGAGATCAATGGCAAGTAAACGAGGAACGAGGTCGAACGGCCTTTCCCATTCACGAGTAGGAAGTGAATGGAGTTAGTTCAGCATCGTACCACCAGAGGGAAGCAGTTACAAGTGGCACGAGCGATCAATGAAAATGAGTTCATTCACAGAATCTGTTGATTCACTCTTTACAGCAGGGGGGAGGAAAATTGGAATATTCTTCGGGCTTGGCCGGATTTTGGGTTGTTAATGGCATCGGAAAGGGTCACGCGATTGGCTTCGAAAGCCCTGAAAAATCGGAATAAAAAATAGTAATAATAATAAGAGAAGGAATTTTGGGGATGTCTCCGGGCGGTGCGAGGGGATGGCAGGGGGGAAGCGGCAGTTTTAAGCGCGTAGAGGGTGCTGCAGGCCCCCGGCCGAGCGGAAGCTGCGATGTGAGCGTATGTGTTGCCCTTTGATATTTCGTTTATAAAGGTCGATGTTACTAAAAATAGAAACAGGCAGTCGTGCCCGGTAGATGGCGCTGCGAGGGAGTTAGGCCGGTGGCGAGGAAATGACGTCACATAGGGGACGAGGGGTTAATATCCGCTATTATTAATGGTCCGGGAGGTCAAGGTCGGGTTGCACCGGGCGGTTTCGGGTGTGGCCCACCCGCTGCCGAAAAGCGAGCGCGGGCCCACTCGGCCGACGGGGGATGTCGGGGCGGGGGGAGGGAAAAAGAACGACAAACGGCCACTTACCTAGTGATGTTGTCGAATGTTCGTCCCGTTGCGGACTGCACCGTTCCGGACCCGACACACACACACAACCTTTGCAAGAGAACGACGTAAGTGTTTCCATGGTAACCGCTCCTCCACGTGACTGGCGTGACGTCAGTGGCGGGAGACTCCGTTTGCTCAATTGACCTTTCGAACACGCTGCGTCGAAAGGTCAAAAGGTATGCGATGCCGAATTTCTATGCCGATTCATCTTACGTTTTTCTAAATAATTAATTTTCAGCGATGATGACGATGATGATGATGATACGTCGTCACTTACATATCGAAGATGAATGGGATGACCGGAAGAAGATAATTTACGTCCCTCGTGCACGAAAAAAAAAAATTAGGAATTATGTGTTTAAAATTTAAATTTACTTCTTTACAATTTAGAAAAAAGAAAACGTTGTATAAACGTTATAAAACGTTTTTTTTTGGTCACCAGAAAACGTAATCTATTGGAATTTTTATGCATTTAAACGTGTAAAAATGCGCTTTCGATCCGTTAAAATGTCAAAATTACTTGCTCTGACGTAAAAAAAATCGAAATATTTTAAAAATTTATTTAAATAAAGAAATAAAACTGCAATATAAACACAATTGTGGGATTTTTATTGTCTTGTAGCACCCTCACGATATGCAAATTAGGCAAATTAATTGTATGAAATGACTCTAAACACACAATTGTTATTAAGGTATTTCGGGTGTATAATGTGTTAAGGTTAACGGAGTACTGCGAAAGGAAATGTTTAAGCACTCTAAGAGTGCTTAACACTGCTTATACACCCCATTCAAGTGTGATTTTATTCAATAATTTCTGAGATACAAGGAGTCACAAATGGTCAATTTATGAACTGTACAGTACTGTACGATTTTAGAGTCGTGTATGAGCCATCTTGAGGCGCTGTTGATTTATTAAATGGCAGTTTCTGAGCCAAAGTAGAGCCACAAATGAGTACCATTTTTTATGGAATTTAACAGACATCGAGTAATTGGTATACATTTATGCTATTAAAGTAACATTAAAATTGTAATGTATATAATATTGTGTATTAGTAGCACACATTTATCATAGAATGAAACATATTATTTGCATTTTGATGCCATAGCAGCAATAATAATTTATACTGTAATAGCGCTTACTGGCATTATGTGGGGCAACGTTAATAATACTTTAATAGTTTTTAGTAGTATTATAGTGTGGCAGCGCTAATAATAATAATTATTATAATTATAATAGTGTATATTAGCACTTTCTGATAGAGATTTTATACAATTAATAAGCATAAATGTGAATTTTCTGTTAAAATATCAATATAAATACGCATAAACTGCACGTGCAATCACCATCTCCCTCTTCTTCCTCATCACCTTGTCGAATAATCGAATAAATCGTAAAAAAATAACACAATTAACGAACTTTATGCTAATTAACACAGCGAGGGACGGCGTCAAACCTCCCCAAATTAAAATATTTTGTAATTTTTATTTAAAAATTCACAGATGAATTTAAAAAAAAAGGCCTTTATTCATAAACACTAGCTGATTCAATATGGTGCAGCATCTGTTTCGACTGCAGTTGCTATTTATAGAAACACCTTTGACGTCAGACTGATTCGTCCCCCTCGCGCGCGTGACGTTACCGTCACAAAGTATCGATCGATCTCAAGAATAGAAATTCTCTTCCGCTCGTAAGCCCGAGGCAAAGAAAATTAAAGAGTTAAAATACGTTCCGAAACCTTTAAAAAACGTCCCGGAAATGACGTCGTAATAAAAAAAAAAATAGAGCCTTCGACGTGTTGAGAGATGCCATCTAGTGACAGCAAAAGAATTTAAATATGAAAAATAACTAATTTGTTCGCAATTTATAGAGTATGAAATTAATTTATTGAAAAAAATTATTATAATAATTAATCAAATGCTAAAAAATTAATTAAATTTTTGGAGAATTTAAGCTATGCCAAATAATTTAAATAGTAGTGGCTCCATCTACTGTCAAATTATTCATTACACTGTGTATTATTTTCATTTTTTAAGACCATTAATTACTTTAAAATTAAAATTAATTGATTATTAATTAATTTTAATTAATATAAAATATTTAAAGAGATACCTTAAAAATTTAAATAATATTGCTGCGTATTTACGTTTAGGGTATATACTCCTTAATTAATTTATTAATTATAATTAAATTAGCTTGTTCGAAGGCATTTAATTAAATTTCAAACTCAATTTACTGATTAAAATTGGCCTTAATTTAAATTCTAAATATTTAATTAATTGAAAGTACAATTAATGAGGAACAAATCAAAGTTTTTCGTAAATTAATTAAAAATGTTTTTTTTAAATTGAAATTAAATATTAATTACAATGAAAATTAATAATAATTAAGGAAATAAAATTAATTTAAATTCATTAATGTAATTAATTATTTAAAATGGTATGCATTAAATTAATTGGTGCTTTAAAAAGCCTAAAAATGATTTGTATGTCCGAATTATTACAAAAAAGGGCATATAATTTTGAATTGATTAATGAGAATTAAAACAATTAAAATAATTTTAAAGTTGATGAGATGAGATCTAGATTATTCACGTGGGGCCTTACCTCCAGTTGAAAGGCATAAAAGTATATAAAGAGAACGATTTTCATTACCTGCATTACTTTCCTGTCATGTATATTATGTAAAAAGATTAATTTTGGGATCTCTTTTTGCGAAGGAAGGCCTTTCTCCTATGTACAGGAGAGGACCAGCCAATTTTTATAGGAATGAAAAAAATTTAAAAAAGTATATATATATATCTCAGTCGAGATAGGAGAGCTAGCGACATTTTTAAAATGGAATTTAGAGGCCTAAAACGCATGTTTGGGCCTCACTGTCATAGATAAAGAGGGTCAAAATGAATTTTTGCTGTCTTTAACAATTCTAAAGTAGCAGCAATTTTTGTCTGCGACTGAAAAAACGAAAATAATGCGTTTAGGGCCTCCTTCAGTCTTGCATAGATAGGGCTAGCAACTTTTTATGGGATTGGAAGAAGGGTAAAATAATTTTCAGGATTTCATTTAACTGAACATAGCTCGAGAGCCTCCATTAGACTTTCGCTAGGATTGAGAAAATCCTAAAACATATTCTGCAGTTCTTCTGTCTGGGATACAAAAAATATTCCAGAGAAAAGAATGACAATTTTTTTCTAGAACACGACCCAAAATAAATTTAAAAGGATTTCATTTATCTCTGGACTTGCAACTGTTTCAGAAAATGTGCATATTTTATATTTTATTGTAAAAAAAGCAACATGTTTAAGAATTGTTGAACACTTAAATGATGATGAAATTAGTTGTATTTTAAAACAGTTAAAAGTGGCATTATATGTGTGAAAACAATCAAAGGGTGAGCTTTGTTTTACCACAAATTTTAATACATCCTTCTATACATCAGATATCCATTCCGATGACGTCATTTTTAAACACTACAATGATTTAGAAACAACATGTGTATACGTTCATCTGGACTTAAAATACCAACAATAAAATATATTTATATATATTATGTATATATATACTGTATATTCTGAGCGTGGGCCTTCGCCACAGGATATTTTTTTTATCTTCTGAGCTTTCGATCGGACAACAACAGAGGTCGCTGTATGTCATTTACTTCATAGAAAATAACACAAAAACATCAACCATATTTGTACTTAAAAAGTTGGTCAAGTTGGTCAATTACAAAATAAAACAGAACGAGAGACCTGAGGTTATTTGGCACATTTCCACTACAGGTACACAATATATTTTTTTTGACCATTTTTGATCGTCTTGGCTTAATTCTCTCCAGAAACAACTTTTAAAAATATGCGTCATACACATGATCCAATTACACTACAGATATCTACGACGTCACGCCATAATTTAAATTTATCCAATGAAATGGCGCCTGCCGCATCAACGTCACGTTTACTTTTAGATTACACCAATGAAATGACAAACTGTCGAAACGTCATGATGGGATTTAAATTTATCCAATAAAATGGAAGAAAATCTATTGCCGCATCATCGTGTTTAAATTTGAATTCATCCAATGAGATCACTAATTGATAAAACACCACCTGTTTCTCGATTTGAGCTCGTTCAATGAGATCTGATAACAAGACAACGTCACGGAATAAATACCGAATCGGGTATTGAATAACCCGTGACGTTTTTTGAATAGGAAAATAAACAATATAAAGTTTTCTGAGGCATTGTTGTGTTAGAAAAAATATAATTTTCTAAAACTTTTTCTGATTACCTGAAGCTCTTGTGAGAGTCGTTAATTTGCTTGCAATGACGTCACAAAATCATGCTTTGAGATGCGGGTTACAATGAGTAATGAGGAAGTTAAGGGTTTTAATTCAATTTTCGTGCGTTACGCCCTTTCCAGGAAGAGAAATTTTGGTATTGGTGTCGACAACACGAGAGTTACATGAACATCGACGAAAGAAAATCATGCGCATACGTCAATCTTTCTAGTGAAAGCTGAAAAACAGCTTACATACGTCAAAATAATTAGTTTTAGTGTGCACTTGTCATCAAAAGTGGCGTAATTTACCACCAAATTTAGTACACTTAACACTAAAAAAAGCAGTGGCATGCCACCGAAACTAGTGTGCACTTGTCAACATGGAGAAACAAAATCCTGCGTCGTAACACGTGTTTGTTTCTTATAAAAATTAATGCTTCTTTTTGTTTTTAATGCACATGATGAGTTTCTGGAGAGAATAGCATCAAAATACATATAAGTTTGATCTTCTAAGAAGCTTTAAAATACTAATTTGAAGTCAATCTCTACTATATAAAGATACTTGTTTTTTATATATATACATATAATATACCAGTACGAACGTTCGGTCAAGAACAAGAAACTTAACAAAGAAAAGAAAACAGGTATAAAAAATACTACATGACTAATAAGCTAGGAACTATTCCACTAAATAAATACTGTATTTTTTTGTTTGTTTTAAAATAATTCTTCCCGATTTTGCGTGTGTAAAATCAACAATTGACTCTCTGTTCGTTCGTCAAGTTGGAAGAAACGGCGGGATTAGTACACGAATAATTATCTAACAAATTATGATTGAGATGATTTTGATCATCCACATCCAATTGACTTTGGCTATTCGAATTCACGTCAACGTTGACGTACTGGATGGGTAATGTTGGCATTTGCCTATTGAGAGCTACGGCATCCAGCGTGGTGACGTCATTGCTATTCTTCCCCACGTGATTCAGGCTAGGAGCTAACGGTAGTGAATCCAATGATTTCAAACTGGAAACACGTTCCACGTTCGGTTTCTCGCACCACATCAGTGCATCGTCGTTATAACCGTCTTTTCTCCTCCTGTTACCGTTACATACGAAACTAGTTTCCCATGTTTGGTTGTCATTAGTTTCTTGTCGTCTAGTGTCGTTGATTTCTAGTAATTTGTCGACCGATTCGGCACTCGATGTCTGTAATTCCGTTCTTTCCGTACTTAAACTGTAATTCGATGATGGCATGGGGATGAGATAATCCTCGGAACCTGGTGACTGCATGTCACGATCTGGTCGTTGCACCTGGGATATTTTTACACACGGTTTTAGTGGGAATAAGGTTTAACCAATCGCCACACTCGTTATAAATGACTTCGTTGTTCATCAACGGGTGGCCATCGATAATAATAAACGTGTTCAACGTTACGCTTACCTGTAAACAGATGCTATCGGTATCGGGTGGTCTCATAACTGTCGCATCCCTCTCCATGGAAGGTGGGCGATGAAACACGGGCAATGATGCTCTTAGAACGTCCGGATCCTAAAATCAAATTTTGAAAAATTGAATTTTATGTACAGGAAACACGCGAAATTGTTGTGTAATCAATTGACCTGTAGACAATATCCAATTCTTTCTATGACTGTACTGAAACAAGGTCGTTGATCGGGCACAGGATGCCAACACTGCATCATGATGTGGTATCTGCAAGTTTATATTAATGTTTATCACTGATTTCTTGATGAGAATATCTTGAGAATCCATTAAACTTATGAAAATTACTCACACAGGATTAGGGCAATTTGTTGGCGCTTCCAACCTTCCACCAGATGTTACCATTTGCATGACATCCTGATTACCTCTACCGGGATAGGGCATGTACCCTAACGACATAACTTCCCATAAAAGAACACCGAAAGACCTTTTAACCGAGAAAAATTATGTTTAGGGTTTGATTTTTACTGTAACTTCATTTAAAAATGATGAATACTTGCCAAACATCCGTCTTGCACGTGAAAATTCCATCTAAAAATGCTTCAGGAGGCATCCATTTGACAGGCAACATAGCTTTACCTCCTTTTCTATAATAATCAGCCCTAGTAATGTAAAGACAGTAAATTTATTTTACTGAAAAAGTGTATTCTATAATGTATTTTCGCAATAATACAATAAGTTTTACCTGTATATATCTCTAGCCATTCCAAAATCTGCGATTTTGACAACTCTTTCGACTCCTTTTGTAGTCAGAAGACAGTTACGAGCGGCGATATCTCTGTTAATTTATTAATGGGAAATTCATTACAATTTCCTAAAAATTAAATGGTAACTGTAAATTCTTGTTAACATACCTATGGATAAAATGGTTTTCTTCCAAGTACTGACATCCCTTAGCTACATCGAGAGCCAAATGCAGCAAATCGCTCATGTTTAAAGGTGAAGGTTTATTCTAAATAATTAGATGACAATATATTATTTATGAATATTATTGTTTGTATTTTATGTATTTTAAACATAATTGTTAAACTTAAAAAATAATGGATATTGCCGCATAAATATGAGAAATGCAACACGTTCATAAGCGAATTTATACATTTTGAATCAGTGTTTCATTAGGTAATGCGGATTATGCTCTAAAAATGATCCTTTTACAGTGTATTATATTAGTGAAATGCCCTTTCATAGATTTAAACATTGATAATTGATTAATTTTAACATTTAGTAATTATTTTATGATAAAATAGGTTAGCCAAAGGCCTATTTGGTGGGATAGTGAACACTTTTATGTCAATTTGACGTCATTTTTAAAACTTGTTTATTGTAAAAGTGAAGGGATGACGTCAAAATGCTCACTTTACAGACAAAATTACTGGGTTTTTAACTTTACCTTCTATAGCATTTCTCAAAATGTCTACATAACTTACCGGTTTGGGTCGACTTTCTCGAAGGAACGACTTCAGATCTCCACCCGAGAGAAGTTCTAATACAATAAATCTTGGAAGTTTCTCAAAACACACCCCAACGAATCGAACAATGTTTGGGTGATTAAATTTGCTATAAATTTATAATGTTATGTAATATTTATTTAGAAACTTATATTCTAGATAAAAGAAATCTCACCTCATAATTAAAGCTTCCGTGAAAAAATCCATCTCTGCTTGATTGGAAGATAATTCTGGAAGAGTCTAGAACAAGGAAGTTATTATTTGAATAATACAAATTTTGCTTGTTAAACTATCTTTTCTTAAAAGTAAACATTTCTACCTTGACAGCAACTGGCATATCGCCTAATTCGCCAGATATGTCAGAAAGATAACCCTGATAAACTTCACCAAATGCTCCCTGACCGAGTGCCCTGAGGAAGTAAACTGGAAAAATGTCATTACTCTTTCATAATTTATTATATTTTGTCAAAAAATTAAAGAATTTCATCACATATTTTGTATTAATTGTTAAAATATGCATAAAATCCTGCTAAGTAAATAAATAATCAAATTTGTAATCTTATTATCATACATGTATTAAATCAATATTGTTTTTCATAATTTAATATGCGATGAGTACAAGTACCAAGAAGTATTTTGGTAACTGTAATTAAAAAAGAAAGTCAAAAATCCTGCCAAAGGAAGACCGAAATAGAAAAATCCCACTAAGTGCTAACTTGACAGCAATAATTTTTTTTAAAACGTCAGCATATTATTTTCTAATCTTTAAAAAGTATATATGCAAATTTGCAATTTAGAATTGCAAAAACTCGCTTATCTGACGCTATTAATTTGCATTTCCTTCGATTAAGTGTAAATAAAAGGGATGTTGCATGCATTTTAGTAATTATTAATACATAAATAAATATTTTCCACATAAATCTCTAATGATAAATGAGAGAGGAAGAGGAGAACACCTCAAAATTTTATTAAGTATCCAACTGTGAAAGAGGGATTCCGTAATTTAGTGGGATATAATAAGTGGGACATAAAAAATACGAGTCAGATGGACCTAAAGTAGGAACCTTTCATCTAGCAGCTGCTGGCGGTGACAATGTTAAAAATAAAGCTTACTCACTTGACAAGTGTGAGACTGTCTCTCGGTATCTCTCTCAAATCTTGAATAGTGCAAGCGCTTCCACCAAATTCATAATTTGGATTATATTCGGTCACCATGCCCCCTCCAGATTGTCTTAATCGACTGAGTTGCATCTCTGGATTATTTAATGGCTCGTGGCTCAAATCACGGCTTTGTTTTTTACGATATTTACTAACTGAAATCAATTTTTTGTTAGAATATATAAGACTACGCTTGTAATAGCATTTTCATAATTAACTTACGTGCTAAGATGGAAATAAAACCAACAACAGTCAAAACAACTAGACACGAAAGAATGATAACTACAAGATTTGTGATGGAGAGATGTTCCTTATGAGCTTTAAATAAAAAAATTTAATATTAAAATCATTAAAAGAATTAATTATATATAAATAAGGTTCTTTGATGCATGTTACCTTTACAGCTTGTTCCGTCGTCTTCTAACGAACTACCCTCTGGACAAATACACTGATAAGTAATTTCTGTCATATCTATAACAATGCATAAATATTGACATCCACAATCGGACTGTGCGGGAAGAATTTGCAAAAATCCATCTCCTTCATTCATTCCCGGCTCAATAAGAGGGAGAATTGATAGAGAGGAAACGAAAGAAGTTCCACCTTGTCCGTTTTTAGTAATTTCATCCACTTCGGCAGCATTCCCTCCTGTAATATTAGAGTATGTTAAATAATGTTATGTACATATAAAAAATATGTACCAGACTGTATCGACCTTTATATCCTCCCCCTCCTCCACCAGAATAACAAGCTCCACCACCACCTCCAAATCCTCCAGAAGTACTAAAGCTACTGGCCATTTGACATGGATAACCTCCAAAACCACCGGATAGAAGAGATAATCCAGAGTTTCTACTGATGTGAGTCGAGTCGTTCCATCCTCCTCCTCCACCTTGATAGTAAAATAACATTCATAAACAGTTCTTTGACAAGATCAGCATCCGACTGAAAATAAATAACTCTAACCTGCACCACGTGGGAGAGTAAATCCATTAGACGGACCAAACTGATTATCTTCGCCTCTACCTTCTGGTATAATTGCAGTTTCCGAATTGTCATCTCTCGTATGAGCCAAGCCTCCTCCTCCAGAAGCAACCACTAAAGGAATATAATCTTTACCACCATTTTTTATCTAGAAAAAAAGAGTTTCGATTAAGATTCTCGTTTCTTAAAATAATACAATTAATATTAAATTATTAAAGTTAAATACTTTAAAAACGTATGTAGCACCTCCACCTCCTCCTCCGCCTCCATCCTTCTTTCTTTTCAGTTTTTGCAGTTCTTCAATACTTCTTATTCGTCTGTTACCATTGTCACAATCATCTGATATCTGTAAAAACAAATGACACAGAAACAGATACAGGCATATTCTAAATCTGGAATGAAGATACGGAAAAAAATAATTACAGAACACGCGCTCGTTCCCTTCTGTCCCACTAGTATAAAAATAACTTCTTCAGCTGTCCAATTGAAGGAGGCTCTGACAACTGCACCACGACTTTTACCTTTGTTAAACAGACCCTGTCCACCACTCGCACCTCCAGCAAAAACTCTAAAAATATAAATATGTATTTTAATACTACAAAAAACATTTTGTAGTATTTTAATACTACAAAATGTTAAGTTGAACACAAAAAATAAACTAAAATTGCTATTAAATTGGGTTAGTGTAAATAAAGTATGTAGTTTTAAGTAAAACTTGAGAAAATTAGATAAAATCGAGCATATCTTTGGCTATATGGAACAAAAATACACAAACTTATTCTTCAGATAGGTTCTAATACTCAGAATTTGGAAAAATCTACGAAACTGGTAACTTTTAAACAATAAATCGCAAATAAATGTGAATCGATATGAGTTATCATTATACGGAAATTTCTAAAAGTAGTTTCAGCTATTGGATTACAAATTAGCGGTAGCAAATGCATTACTTTGTGTAAGAAACGACGTGACATTTTATGATATTTCTCAGAAACCGAATCGATAGAAAGTTCCTTAATCGATTCTAAGAACTGAACTGACTTACGTATAAATATTAGTTTGAGGAACAACCCATTGTTGGATTCCATCCATCAGATTCTTTGATTGGATACTGACACGAGTAGAAGAATTTTTGTATGATCTTCTACAATCTTGTTCCGTAGGTCCTCTGTTACCCCGTATGCCACAAGTACTAAAAACATATTCTATACACAACAAAAAGTTGATAAGTATAATGTAAGAATAAGAAAATTTAAGCTTTTATATGTTAAGAATCGCCTACTTGTATGCACTTTCGACGAATTCTTTTCTGAAAAGATAAAGTAGCATTTATAAAGGGATTAAAGCATAATTTTTTGTTATAATTTGTTATAAATACCTATAAGATAATCAGTCACATTCGCAATATCTTCACGAGCTCCTGTAAATAAATAAGTAGATATTAACATAATACTGATAGAGCAGGCGATAAGATAGATAAAATCGTACCAATTTCAAAACATTCGGGTGTTAGAGATATATCATCGAGGGCCACAATTGTTTGTCGTAAAGCATTCGTTGCTCTAAATTCCAGATCGTAACTGCAAATGTAAATCAGTTGTAGAAAATGTAATTATAAAGAATTTTTAACGAATACTCTTCGTAAAATTCTTACATATCTAAGATATCTGGCAGAGGCAAAACAACAAGATTCCAGAAATCTGTTCTCTTGCCGGAAGCACTCCATAATGGGAAAATTCTACCGTCCGGATAATTGGAATGATAAGTATTTAAGCGTAAACTCAAAACAGATGGGCTCTTGCCGTGTATATAATAGTAAAACCTAACCTGTATAGAATGTTATTTAACATCAATTGTTTAAATTCTTGTCTATAGAATTAATTACGCTTACCTTACAACTTTGATAGAAGGAAGACGAAGGGGAACGATGATAACGTGGAGGAGGACGAAATCGCACGCTTCTTAATACAGCGTTATGACCGAAATATTTCTTAGGAAACTTAGCAATTATATAGATACCTGCAAAGATATCAATAAAACATCTGATAATAATCCAGTTATATTAGAATTAATTTAATAATATATGACAAAATAAATTTAGATGCGTATAGATTTATCGAAAATTAAAAATTATGATTCCCGTTCTTTGTATATATATATTCCACCTTGTCCGTTTTTNTCATATATATATATATATAGATATATATATACATACTTTATAGCCTTTAAAAAATATTTTTGCTAAGTGAAACTAAAACTTTTATTAGTTTTTTCTTATGTTTAAGAATAGAATACAAAATTTGGCAACATCAGAAATTATTCTGGCAAACATTAGTTAAAAACATTAAACTACTTATGAATATAGCTTATGAGACTCGTCATTTGTGCGAAATTAGTTTTTTGCTACTTTTTTTATTTTCTAAAAAAATCTTTTATTATTTGAATAAAAATTTCGGCATTTATCTATTTTTATGTTGAAGTCGAAGAGACCCAAACCTAACTACAAAGTTTAACTCTTAATTACAAATAAATTAAGACGTGTACCAATCTTTGAAATCATGATGTGGAGCCATTTATATTGCAAATATGTTCAATGTATTTGCCCTAAACTTCATGAGTTTTGTATGATTTTCTGCACTATAATCAATTAAAAACACACAAAAAATAATAAAATGTGGTATTTTGTGATAAGAGAGTAACAGGATGTTGATTGAAGTTCAGAAAGAGAAGCGAGCAAGCTTCCTTAGCAGTGGATCAGATTGACAAATCACTGAAACACGTTTTGAGAAGTAATGACTCGACAGATTCGAACGAAATTTTGCACTTAAATGGAAGTAATGTAATGGTGTGTCGTGACGAAACCGAATTTTTAAATTCGATTTAGAACGATATCGAGGCTCAAAAGTCATTCTTATATTAAGTCAATGGAAAAATTTTGAATTGTAGGACTATAAACGTAAACAAACGAGCGCGAGCTACCCGACATTCAAAATATGGGAAACTCTTGCCAAAATGTTTTATGAATACCGATCTTATTTTTTCATTTTTCTCGAAAAATTCACCGTATACACCCATAACCTATATAGGTATCCCTTGATTAAACGCGGTTAATTAATCCCTCGATCCTACCACGTATATTAAAATATGATATTTACGTTAAGTATAGACAGCTGGTAAAGCCGCGTACATAAAGAAATTGCCGCAATTAATTTCGCGCGTTATGCAAGAGATACCTGTATACGTTAACGTATTAAACCATGCCTAACGTTTATTATGTAAGTTAAGAAGTTTAAGAACAAAAGTAAAAATTCACTGCTTATACAGTGTGATGACTCGCTTTAATTTAGGCCTCCTAACGATATAACGTGAGTTAGCAAGCCGTCGCTGCGCTCCAGTTAGGGACAAAGTTCTCCTAGTTTTAAGCCATATAGAAGTTATTGTTTCATATGAAACTATAACTTCTATGTGGCTCTATTGTATGAAGTAAAGATTATATTACAGACTAATAATATTGGAGATTCTTTGAGAAAACAACTTTCCATGAGTATAAATGATCCTGTGACAAAACAGATAAGGTTACAATGCTAAAAGCTTCATTGTACACTGGTTATCCAAGAATAATTGGTAACAGTGACAGTGTATATATGACTTTGGACAACTTGGATTAACAATATTAGAAATATACTAATAGCACCTCTTCAAAGACATACTGAAGAGATGCAGAGATAAAAAAAACAGTGGCTAAGTGGGGTCTAGGGAAGAAGACTAGAAGTTAAGCATTTTATACAAAATTAATGTACTTATAAATGATATTATGAAACGCTTGCAAAGAATAAAACCCTACCTGTTTCATTTTCATACGTGTGATCGTTATGAGGCCCTATTCTTCCTCCTAAAACGCTTCCATTGTTACGTATCCATCTGCTCTGTCCGTCACCGTTACTCGTCCACCCGCACATGTTCATTTCAAAATTACATCTCGAACCGAAAGGCATTAAATCTACGTCAAGCGAAAACAATCAATAAATAAAAAAATAAAAAATTAAATATAAAAATATAATAAATTGAACCTACCGCAATCCTTCTTCTCGTCTTCACCATCAGGACAGTCAAAAATTAAGTCACAAAGTTTCTCCTTTTCGATACACGTCCCCTGAGAACACCTAAAGTGATGAGGTTCGCAGGGAACGGTAACAGCCGACGCTGCTATACAAAAGTTGTTTATAAATTAAAATGAAATCCCATTTATAATTGGTAAATATATAATCACGTGTTCTTTACTTCGTAAGCATCCGTCAAGCTTTAGGTTATCAATGGCCACGTGAACTGGTAAAGAATTATTAGGGGGGCTGATTTCTAATAGGATATGAAACGGTTTACTGATTGTACCTATTCTTGTCGAAAAGTGTTTCCAGCTGTAAATAAAGGAAAATATTCACAAATAATCAACACACTTTGGACCTAACACTAAAATTATAGGTTAATATTGGAACCACGTTTTACAGTTTTATGTAACGAGAAATTTTATACCCCATAACCAATTTTGTGGTGTATGAAAGATACTTTCCTTATACTATAACACGATTGGAATACAAAATAAATTAAAGTTTATCGAAATTTTAATCATAAAAATTATAAAATCTGCAAGAATAATTCTTCCTATCCCAAATTATTACATACATATAACCTAACTTGCTTCTACCCATAAAATTGATGTACATGTATCAGTACATTCATCATAAAATATTTTAACGTTTAGAGAAACTGTACAGGCGAGTGTTCTGTATAATAAGCTTAATTATATTAGAAAGAAGACATATTTTTATCTATTTTTTTCCCTTCTTTATATAACTCATCAATAAGTTACCGGATTAAAAATACGTTATATAATAGCATTAAATTATTGATACTAAAAATTTATAATATAAAATTTTTAATCCAATGTGGACTTAATTATTTTAACATGAAAGTATAAGGCCCTATAAATATTCTATGAATATCGATTAACGAAAAGTAATTAATATTAATCTAATGAAGCTAATTATTATTTACCTATCCAAATCCAAATTTAGTTTCTTCTATACTGAACAGAGGTTATAAATTTAAATTTTAGCATGAATTTCTTACTAAAAACAGAATTATAAGCTCCATTGTTGCCAATTTAAGTATTCTTAATTATAAGCTCCATTTGTTTAGATATCTGAGAATTTTCATTTACTATGACATTAAGGCAAAAATTAATGGAGGATAATTAAAAAAATTCATAATTATACTCACTCAATTAGCGAATTTCCAGCAAAACGAGCAATAACCCAAGATATTCTTTCAGTCTCAACATAAACTTCCACATAACCGTCTTCCATATTTCTCATCACCATATCGAAATCAATGGTGCAGTCGTGTCCACTTCCATTCACAAACCAAGGACTAGAGATGTTTATTCTCTTAACATCTACCTCATAGTATGATTTAGCCACTCCATAATACAAAAAATTACCTGAAAGCGGTATAAATTAATAGATTTAAGCACGAAAAAGGGGTGTTTAAACGCAAAAAAAACATGCGAATCTTAAAATTAATATTCTGACGTGAAAATTGATCCCTCGACAGAGTTTAATTCTCATTTAGCGGGGATAATTCGTGAATTCTGTACAGACTTCATCCGTGTCATTGACACGAGCGTTTGAAGCCATGCCAGATGGTCCGTGGCCAAACTTCAAAAATCCCGTTAGCCGATAAACATTATTTCCCTCCCGGTACAATAATAAAAAGCGATTTTAGCAGGAAAATAAACAACCCACCGGCGATTTTTTTTAATTCGCAGGCGGAGTTCGTTTCATGAGTAATCGCCAGGTGGCATTATGATCGTAAAAAATTCTCCGGCTGGTAGGGGGAATTTGATTCGATATTTAACATAAAAAATGGCCGAATACTAGTTAAATATCTCACTAAATCGCTAGAATATGGATCCGTTATGGCGAATTACAATAATTTCCCCCAATTAATTAACGTTTTAGATTTTTATAAGACATTGAAACTCACCATAGGTGTCATTCAGGGAGCGATTCTGGATAAAGTTATCGTCTGTTAAATTTAAGGCCGATACGATGGAAATTGGATCGTTAATGTGCCATTTCCAGCTGCAGCTCGTTTCAAAATCACAATCGAATGCCAAACAAGACGAAAAACACGAAAGAACTAACAGAATCGTCTTCATCTTCTCGCATCAGCTTCCATCGCACCAACATCCGACTGTCATGGCAACCGACTGTTGTGTTAGCGACGTAGACGCCGCCATCTACCGGACAAATGCAGCTCGGGCGAAATTATCGTCTGGTTTTCAAAATATTATTTATTTATTTTATTTTTTTTGGATATTCCCATTTGCGCCTCGTATTTTATTTTATAACTATTATAATCGTGTCGATAATTTATAGCTGTTACTAATGTTTCCCAGTTGTATGTAGACCCGATCGATATTCGCGTGCCTATGCTTATCTGCGTCATATCCAAGCTCGAAGGTGAAGCGGGATTTAAGTGATTGACAGCGCGTATATTGTTTGGAATTTTATATATCTTATTCGTATTTTTTTTTCTCTAATTATGTCGCTCTGATATTGTATTAACGCCCACGCCATTATTACGTAAATTTTTTTTCTGTAAACAAAAATAAACCGTTCGATGTCTATGAAGCAACAACCGTTTCGTATCTGAACATCTTGTTTATTTAACAAGTAGTTGAACGGGTTTATTTATTTTCTCTCTTCCTGTAACTCGTGATTATGCTAAATTAATATTATAAATCGTACTATTAAAAATAATTAATTTTAAAATTATATCTTATTACCGTTATTTTACTTTTATTATAAATATATTTTTAAAATTTTAAATATTTAAATGCAACGTCATCGCGCGCATGCGCTCGATATGAATAATTAAACGTAATTAAATATCATCGAATAATCCTAACGGCCAAGTTGTTTTTAAAATCGTTAAAAATGAAACAAAAGTTTTATGATTTATTAATATAAATATTAAAATTAATAACGTGAGAAGTATTCTTAAGCCGTTTTATAGGAATGACACCGAGAGAAAATTGGAAAATTGTGATTTGTTTGCTTAGATACCGTTGCTAAGCGACTCGAAAATGGTTGTCACGTGACACGTCCGAGATTGATCCTTCTTATTTTTATCAAGACGAAATATCATTTTTATTAGATTGTAATTGGAAATTTGAGAAATTATATATTTTAATAAGAAGGAAAGGAGGATAAGGAGGAAAAAATTACTCCATACGATTATCCAGGAAATATCTAAAGGGAATAAAATACTAGTTAGAGATGCTTACTACATAAAGGACAAGAATATATTTACTTACAATATAAATTTGGAAGAAGTTATTCAGTTGGACCATTTTTTATGAGTAGGCTGTCTGGAGTTGTTCGTAGTCGGCGACGGATAAGGGAGAGATTGAGAGTAAACTGGAAGTTAATAACAAGAGTATCAGTAAGGAAAATCACGTTTATAAATCAAACTCGATCTCCCCATGTTGTCGGAATATTCAGGATCTCTTTAAAAAATTTACAATTATACCCTAATACAATATTTAAAATTACATGCAATTGTCGGGTTCACTGTGACGTGGATAACTGACATAAACAAAGTAAGAAAAGATTCCCTAGAAGACAAATATTGGGTTCTGAATGGTAATGCTCAAAAGTCGCAGAGGTTTGGCCGTCCATCTGGAGGCCTATTATTATTAATTAAGAGGTCCTTCGGACATTTAGTGCAATCTTATCTCACCTCAAGTTTTAGTTTTACCCTGGTGGAATTGAACCAGAGTCTTCGATTAATGTGGGGATTGTATTAATATATTTATCTCCGTCGACAAACAGCTCAAAGTAGGCTACTTTGATGAAGTTCAAGCGGTTATAAATCAATGAATTTTTTATTATTTATTTTTCAAAATAAATTGTATGCGATCTTATTTGCAAAGAGTTCATCGATAATCGTCATTTTTCTGCCTCAAAAATGAGATTTCATCCTAATTAAAGTAATTATTTTGATTGCTGGAGTACAATTTTTAAGCAAAGCCAGACAACAGACGTTGTCCGTCTGTGTGTCCTTAATCCCTTAAATCCTTAATCCCGAGAATGGTGTTAGATAAATGAGATTCAAGACCAGATTTGGAAAGCTTAGGGGCAGGAGGTCCCGATTAACTATATATGAACTTCCGGTACAAACGTTATTTAAATTCAAAAAATTTCGTCCCCAAAGGAGTTAGATAGATAACCGACACGATTTTATTGCTAACGGAAAAGTATGATGTATAGAGGTAAGACACTACAGCACTTGATTTAGTTGAGGCCCTAAGCTGTAATACTTAGGAGGCCCAATCACAAAAATACCTTCACTCTGGGGGTCCCAAGATCGAATTCGGGTGAGCAATCTCAGAATTATTCGGGAAAAACCTCATTACCCCTCTACCCCATCGTGGGTCTGGCCAAACTCACAATGGACCCGGAAAAAAGCCTTCTTAGTGCCAATTTTGTTCTAAAATAATTTCAGAAATTTTGTAAATTTTTTCAGTCATGTTATTTTAAAAAACCGTACGACCTTTTAACGAGTGAGCACATTCGTTTCTCTGATTCGTTGAAAGTGCAATGACTTAATAATTAAAAATGTATATCAAGTCGTAATTGGTTGAATCAAAAATTAAACATTAGATTAAAGTGAAAGCAATATCTCTAGAGGTCAACGGCCATATATGACACTATTTTCTGTGTAAAATATGTATATTTTAATGGCCACAAATGGCGTATATCGAGTTCACAGGTTGCTGTTTTCACACAAGACAGCCAACACTTCTGTTTTGATATATTTGTATATTGCTAATTGGGTTCATATTATTTTTAAGCATTCCCCCCGCTTCTGTTTATTTACATTACGGTAAAAATATCATTTATTATTCATAAAAAAAGGAGAGCAACACGTAAAAATATTTGGAAAGACATCAAAGACTCACAATTCTCTCAAGCAGTGATTTATAATATTTTTTGCAGAAATTCGTTTATTTTTACTAACCGAATATATATACATATCTTTCTTTCCATTTTGGAAATGAATATCGATCGAGCAAACAAATTCTCGAATTTCATTAATTCTTAAAGTAATTTCAACTTAAACGTGTATGAAAATAAGAAAAGTTTTCAAGAATCAAGCGGTTACTTCCTGTCATTCACCCCTCGATAACGTAAACATTAATATTATATTAATATAAGGATAATATAATAAAACGGTAATAATTTACTGCTATTATATCACTATTATTCTAATATATTACAATAATAACTTCTACCGTTGCTATTCTTGGTATTATTCAATGTGACCTTTGACATATGTCATTTGATAGCTTTGTGGTCGTTTACTCTTTAGCGCATTTCTTTACTAAGATGCTGCTATCACATTTCGTTATTACAATTATTAAACAATAATTAACGAAAATATTAATATAATCACGTGCCATTATAAAATTTTTCTATATTATTTATTTATTTATTATCATATTTATTAATTGCCAAATAAAAGAGTAGACAATAATGAAAGAAAAAGGTTTAATTTATTTTAATAATCATTGTTTCGTAATGTTTACATAGTAAAATAAATTATCTGTGCATTGTGATCACGTAAATATTCAATAAATAACGTAAATATTAAGTAATTTATTGAATATTTACGTAATATTTACGTAATAGTATAAACTTAATTTATATTAGTGCTCAATAACGTGTATTTAATTTATATTATTACGTAATAGAACGTAACATCTTAATGTAAATCTAGGAGGCGCTCACTACTGTTTTACATTATTACGTTTGTAAATTATTTCAGATACGCAATAATACGAACTGTTTTCTATTGTTACGTAAGCACAGTTTTGAGTAGACTTTTCTCTATCAATTTCTCAATTGTTTTTCATTTTTTAAATGAAATATTGATGAATTACATTCCAAATAATTAAAATGAAGAGATTAATTTTAACTTAGTACACAGAAAATAAATTGATTGTAATAAAATGCGCCATTTATAATTTAGTCTCAAGACAAATAAAGAAATAATTTATGTATTTTTTTTTTTTAAAAAAAAGGTCGATTTAAAAATAAAATTTATCGCCAAGGAATTATCTTTTGGATCATTTTGGCAGTGAAGATAGCATTTCTTGGAATAACCAGAAGAATATAAATCAACAGAATAAATTGTTCTCTAGGGTAGGAGAAGGAAAGATGGCTGTTGTACCGGTTTTAAATGTGTATTATACGAGATTAAATGCTTTAAATTCGCGATTAAAATTTAATTAAAAGCTCTCTCGTTGTATAAAATATTAAATTATTTTATAAACGGAGTCAGGTAATTGTTTTAAGGTGGAGACGACATCCTGCCCAAAAACATTATGTTCCTTTTTGCTTGTACTGCATCTAGAAAGCTCGGGTTACGTCCGGTTAAATACACTGTATTGTATAACGCGTAAAAAATTGAATTTTGTTAGATGTAGTTAAGAAATTTTCATTTATACAGGTAAATATTACCGATAAATTTGTGTTTGTATAATGACGTGGTACAAAATAACGGGTGTAGAAACGAGCACTTGACGTTATGTCGCCAAATGTAAACTAAAATAATTGATGTAATTACAATTGATAATCAATAAGCAATGTTAGGCAAGCTGCAGTTATTTATGATCTTTAAACGTTATTTTAAACGATTTAATAAATATAACGAAAAAAGTTGTCCTTATTGTCAAAAGATGGCGCGATGCAACTTTTTTTTATATCCCCTTTTATAACAATTTTTTCGATGCCAAATAAAAAAAAATACAATAATAAAAAAAAATATTATAAAATATTTTAAACTCAATAAAAATAACTTTCAACAATTGCTGAAAGTTCAAAGTTCTTTAACCTGGCTGTAAATGATTTTAAGTGAGGAATTTTTAAATGGTTTTTGTAAACACTAGACTTATAAAGCTACCGGACTATCAAATATCCAGGTGAGCAGCAACAATCAATAATATATCTCGAATTTATTTGTTTACTTGCAAACGCAATAGGCAGTTATCTGATACTAAATGAAGTAGTTTTCAGGAAAAAAAAGGAATGCAGAAATCTAATTTATTCGGACACGTGCTCCCGCTTATTACAGTTCAATATCCATTAAATTGCAATCAATCGGGCGAAGAGGTATTTTATGTAGTAAAGAGCTTACCTTGCA